TTTAAAACAAAACTGCAATTTTGGCCAAAAAAAAAAAAAAAAAAAAGGCAGCAACAACAGGAATGGTAAAGTTGATACAAATCTAACACTATAACTAAAGAATCCATTTTGTATGAACTGAATGAAATGTGTAGTTAAACAAATCTAAGCCTTTTACATGTAAGTGTTGTTGCTTTATGAACTAACCCTTTGAGAGATACCAGGGATTTGTTCTGAAGACATCCTCAGTTTCAGTGTCTGCATAGATTCAAATGACTGAAGCTTATATTCTATCGCATCTCCTTTTTGAAGCCACGCTTATTAGAAGCATCCATGTTTTTTACTGCAGAATTGATTAAATAGTATTTTTTATTGTCAGAGTGATTCTCTGAAGAACTGAAGTATTAAAAGATCCTTGCTTCCTTGTGTCCTCTTTATGGCTGTTATACCTTAACTGCCTACACGATGTACATTCTGCACAAAAAGGTCCCACATGGTGTAGAACCAGGATAGCTGATATTACTGCTGTTCTTCAGCAACTTACAGGGGAACACTGTCATTTACAATCTCTCTCAGATGGTTTAGGAGAACAGAAATACTATAACAAGCCAAGTCAAGAAAATTATTCAAGGTCAGCCTTGCTCAATTTGAAAATAGTAAGCCAGACCTGAAAACTCTGTCACTTAACAAACCTACCTTCGAATATATAAATAGAGAAACTGATGTGAACCAGCAAATCTTAATCTCACAAACAGGGAACATAAACAAATATAAGCTACAAGAGGTGTGGAGATTCACCGAGAACTTTAAAAAATGAGAAACAGGTAATGTACTAGAGCTTCTTCACTCTGCTAAGGAAGATACCCTAACAGGTAAACAGAGGTGCAATGCGCAGAGAATTTCTTCCTTGTGTTAATGGTCTGGCATAAGCTCACGTAAGAACTATTCTGACCTTAACGAATAAGTCTGTCTAAATTTGGATAGTACTGACTTTGCTGCAGCTTGAGGATTATTGAAACACAAAAGGCAAGGACAGCAGCGTTTCATTTAACTGATTAAACTTCTGGTGAGAATCATGATCACTGAGACAGCAGCTGAAAGAGGTCTCTGAATTTTTTATGCTCGTGGCATAAGCTCCCGGTTTCAATGGTAGGAGCGGAACCTGTGGAAAAGAACACAAACAAAACTGCATAGTTTGTAGACTTTTCTCCTTCTCCTGTTTTCCAAAAAATGGACCACACTCCTTGGTGCTCATCTAGGTAAGTGGAAGGATTTGACAATAAAATAAAAAGTTTAAGTCATTGCTCATAAAGAAAAATAACTGCAAGGTGAAAATTCATAGTTGCATTTATCAGTTAAGGATCCGGCATATAGCTTACTTCTCTTCATTCTTGTCCTGACTCACTATTATGTTTCTAACAGAGGAAGCTACTATTTGGCAAGAAAAAGCACGACAGAATCTGGCCCTACGTAAATAGTGATTTAAAGTTCAGAATGAACATATTGCAAAGAAACCCCTCCAAGGGATTAAGAAAGATTATCCCTGCTCATTGAGAACGAATAATGGCTGGCAGAATAACATTCCCTCCATCAGTGAAGAAAAGGGAAAAGCTGCAGCTAGTTATAGATGTACTGTGGCCAGTAAAAGCTCTTACTCTCGTTCTCTGTTTCTCACTGACATCACTCAGCAATTATTTTTTTCTATTTTAATTAGGTTCTGTCAGAGTGATAAACCCTGCCTAAGACAGCAGCAGAATAAAGGTCACTGCCAGGCCTCCAAACTGACAAGTGTTAATAAAGGTTTCATCTGGGAAAGGTCAAATGTTAAAAAGTCCAATGCAGTTATAATGAACTCAGTTGATAGTGTAGCTACAAAAGTAAACCCCTCCTAAGCAGCCACTCAGCTATTCGAACATAGGCTGTGCACAAATGACAGCACGTTTGCTATTAAAAAAAGAAAAATAAAAGAAAACAAAGAGAGGACATGAACTCATTTTTCTGCCATCTCAGGAGGTATATAGTTTTCACTGCAAATAATTCCCAGTCACAGTAAAAATTTGGGGTTTTGAGAAACTTCCCAGAAAGTAAAGCCACTTAGATGGAAGAATATTATGACAGGTCATCTTTTAGGCCTCATAGTGAAAGCAAATACTATGGAAGAAAAAAAATGCCACAACACAGACCTGCTGCATGGTCAGGGCAGGCCAAATACCACGTCATGCTGAGGACCAACGGAGTGCAGACTGCGAGCCTGCTTCCCTCCCCTCCCTAGCAGATGGAGAGGGAGGCTGGCTCATACTCCACATATAGATTTAAAGATGGGCACCTTATCCCTGAACACAGGATGAAGAACGCACCCTCGAGTTCTCCACGCTTGTACAGCATTGAGCTCTAATCTGGACTCTAGTTTAAGAGGCACAGACCTCCCTTTGCACCCAAAGATTTATTTTCTGTGAAGTTACAAGCTAACATTTGCCAAATTGTTTGGCTTATCAATCTTAATTCTCTTTACATCTTTACTGTAACCTGGCAAATGCTTTCATCTGGGTTGCAAGCACTGCACATACAGAAAAGACAAAGGCTCTGTTATCATCTTTCTCCACTCCTCAAGATCTCAAGAAACAGTCATAAAACTCAGCACTCAAGATTTCTCACCAAAGCCGCTACAGCTCTTCACATAAACACTAGTTAGGACTAAAAGTTTCACTGTAAAATTCCAGTTCCTTGGTTTCTCAGCTGGTATGAAAGAGTTGTGCTCCACTGAGCAAAGCTTATTTTCACAGCATATGAAAATAGACACCACATGGCTATGAATTTATTCCCTTCCAATATAAGGATGTTCAAACAGCTATTGAACATATTATACCAAATCTATGTTCACAAGGATTTTACTTTGAATTTGTATTGGTCAAAATACTTTCTGGTGATGAAATTCAGACCTGGGGCTGGGTTAGGCATATTCTGCTCTAATTGCTCTGCATGTTTGGGGGGCAGGAAATAGACACACGTGTAGAAAGTGGAATTGTTTTTCATTGAAAGATTCATCAGGTATACTGCAAATATACAAAAAAAGGTAGCTTTTGCAGATAATGAATAATTTCTAATTTTTTTAGATAAATAGTATTTTGGAAGTACAAGTTTGCAGAAAAATTCTGGAAACAAGTATGACACAATCAGATATCTTATCACTAGTCCTGGGAGGGCCATATTTCCAGACTCACCCCAATCCATATTGCAGAGTGTAGGTTCAATGATTTTGTGATGGATATGAAAATGTGATGATCACAAAAAATGCTTTATGGTACAAGGAAATCCACATCTGATTTATTGGATGAGGAACAAGTGTTATCTCCCAGAACAGTGTAACGAAGAAGACTCCCTTCCCTGAGAATATTTCAGTCATCAGCATTTTCTCATTTAGATCTAATTTTTGAAATATTTTCAAGGAATGTAGCTTTAACTGTTGTATCCGTTTTTCTCCCTGTGACGACATTAACGTCATGCATCAATTAGCTATATTATTTGTGTAGAAAACAGCTTTAAGCTACAGTTTATGCCTACGACTAGACCATGGGACTCAAGGGAATACATAGGTGGATAAATGAATGATCTTACATATAATGTGGTGTTGACACATTTATTCTCCATTTGCATTATGGTTGTATGCGTGGTCACATATTTTACGGGCAGTGCACGCAACTGTTCACTGCTGCTTATACTCGTATCTTCTCAACAAACAAAAACTTTTCTAGATCAATATATTCAACTGTATGCATTCATAAATATGAAAACTTAAGCTTAAAATGAAGAAAAAACAACAACAAGCAAAGAAGAGAAATCCAATGCAAACAGTGAAACCATTACAACCCTAATTCCTAGTGTATCTGTTCCTGCAGTGGGTATCTGAAATGGTAAAACCTGTCTCCTAAAAAAGGAACGACAGAAGCTGCCATCTTCCAGGTGCAACTATCCACCACCCCTGAAGAATCAAGCACCCAGTATGGATAACACTGTTACTTTCACAAGTGCTTTGCATAAGCTGCTTTCTTTTGTATTATTTGTAATCTGTAAGAATGGTTAACTGAACGAGGTAGAAAAGGCAAAACTCCATGACATTTCCGAGTAGAAAACCAGAAACCTCCATTTCTGTG